TAACAATTGAGATAGACAATGTTGCGCTGGTTTACATTTTGCTTATTTATTTATTTATAGTTTGCTTGGTGGTTTTGGGTATAATTATATTGCTTAGCGGGGCTCTGGAGAAATTAGTTTAATATGTTCATTGTTCATCTTTGGCTAATGCCGATGATCTCGTGTGAACTAGAACATCCTTGAATTGAACTTGATCTAATGTGGGGAACTTGCGAAAGCCCAATTATCCTATACTACCCACTGAAGCAGCATTATGCCATTTTCATGAATTCTAAAATCAAGAGTGAAAAAGGGATAGGTTGCCAAACTGCAAAACTCTATATCTGGCACTCTGGCTCAAGGTACTAATTTACTATCTTTGTTTGATCACATGATTGATGACGTGATTGGCCAAGCTCAAACTCAAAGCACAAGAGTGGCCCTTTCCAATCAGAGAGGGTCTTGTTTGGTGATGTTGAAGCGGCTGGTGAAAAGTTCCCGATAATCAGAGGCCTTGTAGGTAATAAATGTGTTTGATCTCTTCTTTGCTATCTTCTCCATATTATTTTGGGATGTCATGATACAATTTTACTGATCATTGCATAATTCCTATTCCTTGGACAGTCTCATCAGCCATTGTGTCAATGCATCCCACATAATTGGTACCATTCTTGCTTGAAGGAGTCATTAAGCACGGGGGGGTTCAAAGGCACTATAATTCTTTCAGCAGTGATCCAGAGTGCACCAAATATTTTATTATTTACTGGCTTTTCAAAAGATGAGGTCTCATCAACAGAATCCTCCCAACGATGAAGGCTTCCCCTCTTGGAACAGATCACTGATAAATTGATGATCTCAGATGGCACGTTGTTAATGCTGAGAAGAGGGAATGAGATATATCAGTTTCTCCAGTGTTCATTGCTTTGTGTTTGACATTTAGTACCTTGTATCGCAAGATCATCACGCACACATGGAGTAGTGTTGCTTCTCAAAGTAACCCATCTGAGCATGACCGCGCTGTTCATTGCGTGCGTTTAACATGCAATGCTACCTTGTATCTGAAGATCATCACACATATGTACAACCATTTCGCTTCTAAAAAGTAGCCCATCTGAGCATGATTGTGTTGTAGTGTAAACATATGATGACATTAGTTAATGCTTCCCGTGAGAAAGGCATATAATCCTATATTAGCATATAAGTGCCTCGTTCTTAATATTGCATTTCATTTTATGCTTCATCTAAGATTGAAATTAAGTGAATCTATTTTACTACCTTAAGATATTAGTAAACTTCTCCAATAGGACGTTGGACCAGCGTGGGGCTGGAATGATCTGGAATGTATGGTCGCATGGCTTTGATATGGTTCCTATAGGAGTGTCAGGTGCATAATAGTGGAGATAGTTTTCAGCCCTCACCGTGCATTTTTTCTTGCGAGCGGTTGATATATGAACTAAACTTCAATAAATCATTTTTCCTGTTTCTTTGATATATGAACGAAACTTTAATAAATCCTTTTGTCCTGTTTCTTTGTGGCAGGATGGGATGGAGACCTTCACCACCCTCAGGGGGCAACAAGATGAAGGACGTTTTGTACCATGATTTAATGGAGTTGGTCCCTTTGTTGCAGCGCCTGTGTTTACGACTTCTAATATATCTGTTGTATTCTACTGTTTGATGAGTACACATATGTTATTATAGCTCACTAGCCCGCGCAACTGCGCAAAGGTTCCAAGAAGAGCTGCTAAACTATATATATTGCACATTTTTTAAACATCGGTTGTTTTCATGTATTTAAAGATGTGGGCTACTATCTGTGAAAGTTTTCATATATATTGCACATTTCTTAACGTTGCTGTTTTCTTGACCGTGTTAATTACATGAACTTTGTCTTTTGGATTAAATGTCAGTTTAACGTCGGTATTTAATTTCACGGTATTATTATTTTATCGTGCGATTTTTATGTTTTTTTATTATAAAAGTTTAGTTGTCCCGTAGCAATACACGGGCATGCTAACTATATATGTATAATTCCAGTTTCGTCACACGTACACACGCATCAGCATGCAGGCCCTGTCAGCAGGGAGCTAATTAACCGTGCTTCGATCCTGCTCAGTAACCGGCCGGGACACCGCCTTTTCTGGGGTCACTGACGGCGGTCAGGTCGCCTTGGCGCCCGATGTTGTGCACCACGAGCTGGCTTATGGTTCCCCCGGCTAGCGGCTTCAGGACGTGGCCTCTCTTCTGCAGGTCGGCCCTCGTCGCGGCGTCGAGCTCGAAGTGGTCGCCGGTCACCGTCGTCCAGTTCTCGTACTTGACCTCGTTTGGGATCAGCTGCGGACATAGCAGCAAAACCAAGCTCAGAAGAAAGACTATCTAGCCGGTCGGTGACATGTCTCTCAATCTCAGGGTGACACCGGACGGCATCAGCGCTGTGCGTGGAATACAGGGTAAGCTATTTTTCGCTGATGGTTTTTTACAATAAAAGTATCAAACCTGGTGATACACCCTTGGCGCCATGACGAAGCCAATGGATCCATGTTCTTGACGAAATGGTTGATGAACACCTCGATCGTTCCAGCGGGGATCATACTGCCACCACTGGCACCAACTGCAGCCACGAGCTTCCCGTCCTATGCAATAATGCAAATGCAGCACATGACAAAACAATCAAGCTCTCAACAGGAACATGGTCTGAGGCTCTGGGCTCGTTTCAGACCATCTCAGATTCCGTTACGCGCTATAGTTACCTTACCTTGACAACTATGGTTGGAGTCATGGAAGAGAGGCCGTTTCAAAAGGGCTGACGAAATTGGCAGGTGCTGGCGGTGGAGAATTCTCCGACGCGTTCGCCGGCATGGAGAAGTCATCCATCTCGTTGTTGAGCAGGATGCCTGTGCGTGGGGAAAGGATCAGTGAACCGAAGTACGCGTTGACGGTGCTCGTCATCGAAACCGCGTTTCGCTCGCTGTCGATGATGGACAAGTGGCTGGTTCCATGGTCCTGAAGGATGTTCCACCTGAAAAAAACACAAGTTGATCAGGATCAGCACCCTATTTGCAAGATGGCAATGGGACGTGGAACTGAACTGGTGAGGCAATGAACATCGATCACCGATAGCATTCGGAAAGGGTTAATTGAAACTTGAAAGCAATGCATGATCTTTTTACGGCAAGTCTGTCTTTACCTTCCTCCGTAATGTTTAGGCGCAAATGTCATGTTGTCATAAATGGTTTTCTTCAGTTCAGCAGCAAATTTGGGGGAAATCATATCTGACACAACCTCGCTATCGTTCACAAAGTCAGGATCGCCAAGGTTCATCTTTACCGCCATGTAATGTTTCAAGGACTCGATGAGGCGATGAATCCCAAGAGATCCAGCGAAACCAGCAGGAATGCCATACTGCTCGAGGATGTTCAGGACCTATCCATAAGTGAACAGGTGAGCCAAGATCATGGCAAAGGAATTGATCGGTGTTAAGAATGCAGAGAGCTAGCTAGACAACTCACAAGCATCATCCCGGCACCGCCGGCGGAAGGCAACGGCATGGTCACCACCTGGAGCCCCATCACGTTTCCGTCAGCGGCCGCCGCACCTTCACCTGGTACCTGTTCAGGTCCTCCACCGTCACGATCCCTCCGGCCTCCTGGACGTCCCTCACGAGCCGCGCCCCACGGCGCCGCCGTAGAACACGCCGGGCCCGTGCTCCGCCACGGCCCGCAGCGTCTGGGCGAGCCTCGCGTTGCGGCACACGTCTCCGGCCCTGAGGATGTCGCCGCCCGGCGCGCGTACACGGCCCGCGTCCCGTTGTTGCCCAGGATGCCGTCCCTGGTCGCCTCCATCTGCATCCGCAGGTACGGCGAGATCCTGAACGCCAGGGCGAGCCGCGCGGCCGGCAGGACGAGGCGCTTCCATGGGAGCTTGCCGTGGTGCTTCCACGCCTCGTACAGGCCGGCGATCTCCCAGGAACTGCTATGGAGAGCGCGCCCGTGCTTTCAGCGAGTCCTTGCCGCCGTACATGTCCTGAATGCATGGTTGACGTTTCTAGTGTTCATTCTCTCGTCCTTGGAAATTGGAAGAACAATGGGTACAGGAATAACACTCGAACATGGAAGAAGTGCCAAAGAAAACGCTGGACAGTGGGCAGCGGATCGAGTGCCGTTTCTAATTCCTTATTAAACGTTATTACTCTGCTTAGTGCTCATTTATATACGCTAATGCTAGGAAGTGCATATCAGTCCGCCGGACGCTCCGTTGTTAGTGGACCGGCGATGCTAGCTCAAGACCCCGCTCTTATGTTTCCAAATAAAAAAAAATCCGCTCATCCATGTACTCGTACCTATCCGCTCACTTGCTCCTATCCGCTTGCCTGCTGCCTCCGGCGCTCGCCGGCTAGCCCAACCAGGCGCGGCACGCGACCACCTCCGAGGCGTAGCGCTCGCCTACCGACCCTGCCAGGACACTTCGGCACGCCGCCGCCGCCATCCCCCGCGGCGCCTCCATCCCCTGCCGCGCCCGAGTGCGCGCGGCTTGGGGCAGCGAGCGCAGTGCTCGCCCAGGGGTGCTCATGCGCCTCGCGCAGGTGCTCACCCAGGCTGTCGAGCAGGTCCTCGCCCAGGGGTGCACCGGCGAGCTCCATGCGTCACGGCGGCGTCGAGCTCCGTGATTCGCGATAAGCGATAAGAGTGACATTCTTGCTTGGCCCAACGCATGTTGCAATAGTATGTTTAAGGTATTTCAGATGTTTCATGTGGATATTGCAAGTGTTTCATGTGGATGTTGCAAAAGTATATCCGGATGTTGCATATGTTGCAATGGTTGTACACGTATGTTGCAAGCTTTTGTTCCCAATGTTTCAGTTGTTTTTCCAAACATATATTGCACGTGTTTCGCACATATGTTGCATGTGTGTATCTGGATGTTGCATATATTTTGCGATGGTCTTTCAACCGTTTTCTGATGTTTTTACAAGTGTTTCAGACGTATGTTGCAAGTGTTTCAACTGTTTTCGAACGTATGTTGCAAATGTTTCATTTGGATGTTTTAAAAGTAGTAGATCAAGTGTCGCATCTCCCTCCTCGCCTTTTGCTGCCTCGCCTTGATGTCTCCTCCTCTTCTCGATGCTGGTGATGTTCGGGTGACGTGGGCCCACGTGGGGGCGGACGGCATGGGTTGGGTGAGTCGTTCGAGCGGCGTGGAATCCTAGTGGATGGGGCATGCGGCATGGAGCAGGCACAGGGCACAGGAGCTGCGTCCGGACATGGGCCTAGGGCCAAACGTCCGGGGGCTAGCCTGATCCTTATTTATACGCTTCCACCTTGCGTCGCACCTCTTCCTTATTCCACACCGTCTTTCACCTCGCGCCCGCGCTAGAGAGGAAGAAGGCGAGGAGGTCACCGGCGGTAGGGTTCTGGCGGGTCCAGCCAAGCGACGGGGACGGCAGCCGGGCGGTGGAGGCACCGGACCAGGTCAGGGCGGGGGTGTCACGGTGAGCTCGCGCGGCGCGCTGTCCTGGGGTTAGTGTGGGCGGGTTTGGGTGGCGCGACGAGGCGGCTCGCCGCTGGCCACCGGTGGTGGGGGCGAGGTGGGGGTGGGGGAGGGCCGAGGACGAGGATGACACAGGTGAGCTTGCCCTGTATTTATAGTGGGCGGGGTGGTTGTGTTAAGAAAAATATATAATTTAATGTAGATTTTTCATTAGTAACAATAACTAATGTTTATTTCTTCTAATATTTTAGTTCATCCGAGAGTACGAGTAGATTGACTAGTATATCTAATGAAGTAAATTAGTGTCATATATATTAATATTCTATTATATAAAAAAATTTAAACTTGGATTTGATTTATAGAACAACTCAAAATTCATTATTTTGCGACACGTAGGGTCTATGCCTGGTCATTTCCTTCTGGATCCATCACTTTAGCTTCCCCCCCTGTCTAGCAGTCAAACTCTCTCTTTGTGCTCTAGTCCATATACTTGCATCGTTGGTCAGTCCTGAACCATTGTCATCATCATCCCGTCCTTAGCACACTCCTCCCTTGCCAGCCAATCGCTTTTTGCACTGTCATGTGCTCATGTCATGTTGCCAGGTCATCCCACCCCCTCCCAACTATTTGTAGCCTTCTGCCTTGCCGTCCCACGCACTGCTTTCCCTGGCTCAACTTCATCCCAAAAGGCAAAGACCAAATCCCAATTTAGACACCTCAAAGCCCTAACCCCCATCCACCGACCACCCTTCTCTCGCTATTTGTGGGGATTTCCAGACACCTATGACTATACGATTATAGAAGGTACTTAGAGAAACAGATACTTGTTTTTAACGGTACTCCCAAAAAAAGTTTTGAACAGGTATAAAGGTCGATGTGACCTATTACCTCCTCCTACGAGGTAGTAGGGTCATAAATAGAAAACAATCCCCCTCTCTTTGTCAATTTGAGCAGTGCTATTATAATTTTGCAAAGTTGGAGATATGTCATTGGTATCTCACTGACATGTGGGGCTCACACGAGTCAATGACATGTGAGACATGATGACATATCTCCAATTTAGCAAAGTTATAATGGCAGTCTTCAAATTTTCCCCTCTCTTTGTTTGAATTCTAAAGAAGAGGGCAGGCATATAGCCTTAAAAAACATGGCATGTGCACTATGATTCCAACGTGACAGTTGGCAAATATTCTCGACGGATCACTATGATTAGCCTTCTCTCATTTTTCTTTCGGTGCCTTATTATTATCATTCAATTTTAAATTAGAGCTTACTTTAGTCTTGTCCTAAGTAAAACTTTCCTGCTTTGACTATTTTTTTTAGAAAAAATATATCAACATCTAACAAGTACTACCAAGACACTTCTATGAAAAAAATGTAATGAAACTAATTAGATGATGTTGATGTTGATTCTTTTTTCTATATGGTTGGTCAAAGCTAGATAAGTTTGAGTAAAGTTAAAGTAAACTATAATTTGGAAAATATATACAAGTAGCAAACTTTATACACGTCTTATTCTTTGATTAAGCCGTGACTGTACTCATCTCAAGGCTCAAACTCAGTATCACGTAGGTTAGGTACTACTCCTTGATTCAGAATTATAAGGCGTTTGAGGTTTTTAATAAACGTCATGTTTACTATATATCTAGACACAATTTATATCTAAGTATAAAGTAAAAACTATATATCTAAACAAGCAAAAACAAAATATCTAAAAATAACATCTAGTGGGTTGATATATTGGTGATGGAGCCACATACTCAAAAAGTGAAAAACAAAAATTAAAACATAACAGCTAAAAAAGTTGTGTTCGAATATATATGATCTAGAATAATCCAAATGAATGATAGATAACTAAAAAATACTTATAGCTCCAAAAGGACGTGAAAGTATGCTTCTTAATGGCTCCAAATTAAAAAGATGTGAAAAATATACTTGTTTGAGCTACAAAAATAACTTCAGGGAAGGAAGCCTCTTTTTTTAACACAAGGAAGGAAGCCTCTGGTATGCATGGTGCTGTGATACAATCGAGTCCCAAGCATGCCCAACAACACGCAGTTTCTCTGCATGTACACAAGTGCACATGGATGGAGTGATAAAAGGAGCGCTAGTTGATCTTGTCACGATTTGTTGTACCGTAAACATCAACCGTATATAACTTGGATTCCTTTTGGCTTTCCCAATTCTCGTTGCTCACAGGGGCGGTCCAGAGTCCAGACACTACAGCGCAGCGACACTGTAGGGGACACCGAGAAGTGGACGAAAGCGCGCATAAAGCACTTTCCACACGGCAAGAGAGGAGAACGAGAGGGACACGTTTTATTCTTTGATTGATCTTACTTGCTTAGTGTAGCTAGCTAAGTAGCTAACATGGATAAATCCGTCGCTCATGGTTCTTCTTCCCGGTGGCAGAGATAGGGGGCAAGACCCCCTGCGAATCTCTACAGTTTCTATTTGATTTTTTTTAACTTTGACTAAATTTTAAAGAAATATACTGCTGGCCTTGTAAACAATTGCATTTCTGACTCCTCTTGTTCTTCCCACCACTCCAAGGCACATCCTCACACAAGCAATAGCACTGTCATGACTGCTACGGCGAAGACAATGCCTTACCACAGTCTTATCAGTTATCACCAATACCGGCACTTTGTAAGTAACTACAATAATATCCTGCTTTAATGGGTAACTGAAAGACAATTTGCTTAAGCAACAACCATGTGAATCAACTACCTAGTCTACTGGCAAGTCGTATTATATTTGGCATGATTGCTTTGCCGTATCCTTTCACAAATAGTTTTTCTTGTGATCTGATCTCGATCTCCGCCGTGCTTGAGTCCTGGTCAAACGAGGCGAGAGCTAGTACTGTACTATGTGTGTGACAGAGACCAGAAAGAAGAATCCTAGGGGCAAGTCACTCGCAAATTCCTGCTAGTACGACAAGTCGACAATGCTTAATTTGACCACCGCGCGCGGCACGCGGCATTAGCTTGAGTGCTTGACTCACCTTGGAGGCGGCGAGGGGCGCGGTCTCGCGGGAGTCGTACACGACGGCGGTGCCGTCGGCGAGCCTGACGAGCATGAAGGCGCCGCCGCCGACGCCGCTGGAGGCCGGGCTGACGACGCCGAGGCAGAGCGCGGAGGCGACGGCAGCGTCCACGGCGCTGCCGCCCTCGCGGAGCGCGTCCCGGCCTATCCTCGAGCACCGCCAGTCGTCCGCCGCCACGGCGCCGTGCGGCGACGTCACCGCCTCCCTGCGCCCTGCTGCTGGCGCTGCCGAGGCCGCAGCCGCAGCAGCTCCTCCCGCGGCCGCGAGCAGGTGGAGGAAGAGGAGGAGAGCGGCGATGACTCGCGGTGGCTCTGGCTCCCATTGGAGACGTCGGGGTCGGGCTGCAGAGCTCAGGAAGGATGAGGGAAGCTTAGCAAAACGAACGGATAGTGTTTTGATTACACCGTCAGAAGGAAAGACGCAAGATTTCCTTACCAGCCATGGCGCGGGAGAACGAGAGTCGAGGGAACCTCTGACCCTGAATGGCCTGGTTTCTTCTGCCTACTCCTGTACATATATTGACGCCGTGTTTAGTTTCAGGAGGTTGGAATTTGACAATTAGTGTTCAAACATGAATTAATTAGGCTTAAAATGTTCGTCTCGTAATTTCCCATCAAACTGTGTAATTAGTTTTTTTTGTCTATATTTAATGCTTCATGCACGGGCCGCAAACATTCGATGTGATGGCTACTGTAGCACTTTTTGAGATTTTGGGTTGGAACTAAACGTGGGCTGAAAGTGTTATAGGAGTTGTGACTTGCTTGGAAGCACGAGCTACGGTTTTATTTTGGGCTGACATCTCAGAATTTGTTTATTTCATACTATTCACTTCATTGCAAATTGTAAGGCATTTGACTTTTTCTATATATGTAACTTTTGTTATGCAATTAGATATATACTATGCCTAGATACATAGTACAAGTAATATATCTAGCAGAACCAAAATGTTTTACGATTTAGAATACAAGAAATGCATTTAATATGCTATTACTATAAAAGAGCAGGACATTTGAAGAGGCTATCTAAAGTGTCATTATGACATAGGACCAGTGGTATGTAACTTATATTGCCAATTTTGTAATGACTAGTGAGTGGTATACAACATATGTTGCCATTTTTACAAATGACTCCTCTTCTCGCGAGTTCAGAGTCTTATGCGCCGACGACTCCAGTCTCCAACTTCTCTATGGTATCCTTGCCGTTGCCGGTAAAGGCTGTTGAACTCCATCGCACAACTTCTCTCCCGTATCCTTGCCGTTAAAAGCTGCTGATCTCCATCGCACACATGTCTTCTTAGGCAAACAGAAACCGTTGTAGGTGCCAACCAAACAAATCGTAGTTTCAGTTCCATGGTAACGGATAGCATAATTGTATTGACGTTGCCGCTCCCAGGGCTAAACCAAACAACACCTAAATTAGTTGTTTCTAATTACATTGTCGTTGCCGCCCTTAGGACTGAACCAAACAACATCTAAATTAATTTGTAAGCATATAAGAGACGAGGGGCATTGTGCACAAAAGGATGGCTGAATCAAACATCTAACTAATTTGTAAGCGCATATGTAAGCACAAAAGAGACGAGGGCATTGTTTGCTCCCGGCGTTGAACCAAACAACATCAAAATTAATTTGTAAGCACATAAGAGATGATGGGCATTGTTCACAAAAGGACAGCTGAATCAAACAACTAAGCACATATGTAAGCACATAAGAGATGAGGGGCATTGTTAACAACACCTAAACTAATACCATGCTGTTGGGAATAAAAAATATTAAAAATATTCGGATTAAGGCTTGGGGTTTTGAACCCGACGTGAATCGAAGACGCAACTTTCTGATAAGGAGTCTGAAGCGCTACCATTGCGCCACGGATATGGTTTGTGCTGTGGTCTAAAAAAACTCGATCTGTAGGGTATAACGCCCCCGGGTTTTCCGTTAAGAAGAAGGATCTTCTCGCACAGATCGAGAAAACTCCCGAACCCCCACCTCTATCCTGACGCAGGAGGTGCTGTCACCCTGTGAGAACCGGACCGGAGTCTTCCACTGCGCTTTGGCACATGGGGACGGGCGAGGGGAATTTTTTAACCTCAGCCTGAAATCCGCTTCCACATAGAGTCGAACCTAGGACCTAAAGAGTGTCGCTAGGTCACCTAACCATCTGAGCTATGCGCCCTTTAGCTGTGCTGTGGTCCTATCGCACAAATAATTATTTATCTCATACTACGTCATTTTGTGGATCGGTAATGGTCAGAGCTTTGCAGCATCCGGCCAAAAAAAAATATAGCAACGGATGCTCTTACTTTTCAGACCTGCTGCACCGGTTTCTCGTGCGTCAGATTTGAGCCCCCCGAGACGGCAAGACCGAAGGACAACACGGCGAGGTCGAGCATTCAGGAGCAGTGATGAAAACGGTACGGATATTTTTTTTGATCGTATTCGAGACCGAATTTGTTTAAAGGGGTTCAGATCTGTTCGTATCTGAGTCCAGATATTCAACATTCGATACCGTATCCGTATCCGAATACTCAAATCGCATATTTATGATGTCGATATCCAATCGTATCATATCCGATATGGTTGACACTATCCGTATTCGAATCCGAATCCGGACAGAAATATGAAAACAAATGTAATATTAGTGATATCCGTTCGTATCCGATCCGTTTTCATCCCTGTTCGGGAGCACTACCGGAATAAGCAGGTAAGCCGAGTGCGGAGGGTTTGTCGAGTGCGATCTATCATGCACTCAATAAATAAGCTCTTTGTTGAGTGCCGTAAAAAAACACTCGGTAAAATAATTGTATTTGGCAAACGAGAAAAGAAACACTCGGCAAAGTTTGACACTCGGCAAACCAGAAAAAAAAACACTCGGCAAAACTAGACAATCGGCAAAGAAATATGTTTGCCGAGTGTAATTGTCTGGACTCGACAAATAATTTCATTTTTTCTCTTCTGAGTTCTGACCTTGAAACTTTTTCTTCTCTTCACATACAACATATGGTATTCCATGTTAAAATTTGGTATATTGGTGGATCTGTTTGCTATATTTAATTAATTTATTGTATTTCAAGAAATTTTTTGGTATAAGTCAAATTTGAACTACAAGTGATTCAAATAATAGAATAATATGAGTAGAAAAATGATATTCATGTTATTGAGTCCAGCGTGAGGCCTTACCCGAGAAATAAAAAGAAATTTCGAATATCTTGTTTAGGAAACACGACCACAAACGTATGGCCGAATGGTTTTTAAATTCTAAACAAAGCAAACAAAGTCTAAAAATCATGAGATTTGTCATGATGTGATGATATCATACGTGGAGGCTGTGGTAAAAAATTAAGTAGGTTTCGTACAATTTGTTACGTACGATGTTTACAAACCGAAGCATCTCAGAAGAAGAATCGTAGTGTTGAGAATGATTCGGTAATATTTGGAGTCAAAGTGATGGTCGAATTAGGGTTTGGCTTCAAAATATTTTGTATAGGCAATAGAGAACGTAGATTGTTTCACGTGAAATTTTGTTAGTTTTTTGATCCGTTTGATAATTTTAATTTATTAAGTGTAATTATAGAATTTTAATTGATATAAATAAAAATTGAGCTGTAACTGCATAAAATAATGGAATAATATTCCTAGAAAAATCAAATATATATTGTTGAGTCAATTTGACAAGGTATTTTCAAAGTACATCGGAACAAATTGAGAAAAACACGTCATGCAAAAGAAGGAGAAGGAAAATGAAAAAAATAGGTTTGTCGAGTGCCCATTATTTAGCCCTCGGCAAAACTGGCATTTGTCGAGTGCCAGACCTGGGACACTCGACAAACCCCCTCACCGGCCCACACACGCACAGTAGTTTAGGGTTTGAAAATAAAATAAAAAAACAAAATGAGTTTAGAAATTTAGAATAAAAAAATACGTTATGGAAAAGAAGAAAAATAAAAAAATGGGTTTGCTGAGTGCCCCCGATCTGACACTCAGCATAGATGTGGCTTTGTCGAGTGTCCTGATCCGACACTCGACAAACTCGCAACCTTATAGACTCGCCCGACCACCGCCGCCTCCCTCCCACGGACCTCCACTCCCTCTCCCGGCGCCGCCGCCCCCTACCCTCCCTCCATCTCCCGCTGGTGCCCCCTCCCTCTCCCGCCGGCGCTGCCCCCTCCCCTCCCTCTCCCGGTGCCACCCTCTCTCATCCCTCCCCGCCCGCACCCTCCCTCCCTCTCGAGGATCACATTTCTTGTGAAGCGCACGTGGATCTCGAGGATCCGGCCATGGGCTTCCTAGACGAGGCGGCGGCGCTTGCCGTAGGCATGCTCGAGGCGTCGCTTTGGCTCAGCGGTGTGTGCCTGCGCTCGCTCCAGCTCTGCTTGTGCCTCCACCAGGTGTGCCCACGCCATCGCCATCTGCAGGTGTAGAGGAACGCCACCCGTCGCCTTGATCGCGCCAGCGGTGCGACGACCCGCCCGCCCCTCGCCCCTAACCCCTCTGCGTCATTGTCGTGCTGAGAGCCACCCCCGCGTGAGCTTGGCTCGGACTTCCAAGTGCTGGTTGCAAGGTCGAGTGCCGCCGCCAGCTGGCCATGGCCCTGTCCCAACCCCCATCTCCCTCCCTCACCCTTTTTTTGCGCAGGTGGTGGCAGCGGTGTGGTGGTGGTGGCGGGGGGGGGGCGCGGGCGGGCGGGGTTGTTTTTTTTATATTTTGTCAAAAAGTCTTTGTCGAGTGTCGTTTTTAGCACTCGGCAAAGTCTTTGCCTAGTGCCTGAGAAAAAACACTCAGCAAAGAAATGTTTGCCGACTCTATGTACGCTGAGTACCGTTTGCCGAGTGTAACACTCGGCAAAGGCTTTGCCAAGTGTTTTTAGGCTTCGTCGTGTGCCGTGGACACACGGCAAACCTAGGCATTCCGGTAGTGGAGAAAAAGAAAAAGAAAAGAAACAGAGGCCTTGTTTAGTTTTAGGGTGTAAAATTTTGGGGTGTCATATCGGGTGTTACATGGAGGTGTCGCATGGGGTGTTCGGATACTAATAAAAAATAAATTACAGAATCCGTCAGTAAACAACGAGATGAATTTATTAAGCCTAATTAATCCATCATTAGCACATGTGGTGCTACAGTACACACATGCCTTACTGTAGCACCACATTATCAATTCATGGACTAATTAGGCTTAAAAGATTCGTCTCGCAAAGTAGTCGCAATCTGTGCAATTAGTTATTTTTTAGTCTATATTTAATACTCCATGCATGTGTCTAAACATTCGATAGGATAGGGTGTAAACTTTTGGGGGAGGAACTAAACAAGGCCTGAGCAAACCAGTGCAGATGGCGCTGAACCCTGTTAACTACAGAACGTGCGTGCTAAGGTGGTAGAAGAGGAGAAAGAAACAAGTAAAGATATTGGAACATGTGTTAAGCTAAAATTTTGGAGCATCAGCACCAGTT